GTGTGTGTGTGTGTGTGTGTGTGTGTGTGTGTGTGTGTGTGTGTGTGTGTGTGTGTGTGTGTGTGTGTGTCCCAGCCTAGCAAATTACACAATATGAGGCAGCCACCATGAGCCTATTGACCAATCATGCATTCTCTGACAGACTTTAGAAGCTGAAGTGAAAGTGGACTTGATGATAAAAAAAATGCACCCAGCATAGAAGTCGAACTCTAACTGCTTTTAAAAGCATTGTTCTAAATATGCTCTAGATCAGTGGTCTGCAACCTGTGGCTTTGGGGGCACATGTGACTCTTTGGACACTGTGCAACGGCTCTTTGTCTAAAAAAATGACTAATACCGTTGCCCTGTCCAATTTTCTCCATTTTGTAAATCAACTTTCTGTAACAGAGACAGAGAGCAAAATAAATCTGATCAGTTTGAGCTACATTTTGTTAGCCTGTTTGCACTAAACTTTTGTGTTTTTTTTTGAGGCCCATTTAAATATTTGAACATATTTGAGGCAAGTTGATGTGAGAGAAACACAGTTTTGTAAATCATTTTTCTATCTTGCAAGGTATCAAAAAAGGCATGCTATAAAAATATTGCAAGTCATTTTTAATGTAAGTTTATAGGATACCACGTTTGGTATTAAAAGTTAAAATAAAGTAAATATTTGTCATTAAGCGGGGACAAACTTCACAATTATTATTTGAGTTTGATAATGAATATGCTCATGCAAATGGATGCAATCAACTTTTTCACAACTTAGGCTCACAGACATCCATAACAGTGTTATTTTCACCAAAGTGGCTTTACACAAAATAGATGTTGTCCCTTTATCATATTTTGTGTCATTGTACAAAATGTCAAATATGTATTAAAGTTTGTAATACTTATTGTGTAACCAGCTTTGTAGGTTTACTGTTTATACAACACCTGACAATGAGTTTGATGTTTGCTTTGACTATCTTCAGAAAAGGGCCGTTTTGATTATAGGCTAAAGCTTGCAGACTCCTGGCTGGGGTGAAAACTGTTTATTGCGAATACATTTTTAAAAAGGATAAAGGATAATTTGAATTATCTGTCAGTGCTGATTCACAGCCACATTACATTACAGATATTATAAACCAGATTAATGTGGCACCTGATTGTATTATGGTAAATTAAGCTCGAATGCATCCCAGGAATCTGTAGAGAGCTGGAGCCAACATTCCTGAGAGTCTCCTTGGTTCCAAGCAGAGGTGCAGACACAAAGGCTCCACACACAAAAAGAAGACAAGACGTATTCAGAAATAATAACTTCAGAGGAATTCACCTTTAGGCCTACCTCATGGGTATTTTGACTCTCAGGTAGCGATCGATGGCGATGGCCAGCAGCGCCAGGATGGAACTTTGCGTGAGGACGAGCACGGTGCAGGCGAACAGCAGGCAGCTGTAGAAGTGCGTCTGGAGTCCGATGCTGATGGTGATGGCGAGCGGGATGACGAGAGCCCCCACCGCAATGTCAGCCAAGGCCAGCGAGACGATGAAGCAGAACGTGGTGTCTCTCAGAGAGCGGTTGATGCGCACGGCCCACACCACCATCACGTTCCCGACCACCGAGGACACGGCGATCACCACCTCCATCCCGATGTAGAGCGCCTTGGACGGAGGCAGAGCCGAAGTCATGATGCCGCCGCCGCTGGCTGGATGAGTGTGCGCGCGCTCAGGCCGAGCGCGGCGAGGGGGCAGCTCCCTGTTTGAGTTTCAAGGCGCTTAGCTTTCTCATATTGTCTTATAGTTTGTTTTTAGTTCACCCACGGATCCAGTTCCTCAGAACTGGCGCGGATCGAGTCCAGGACACATTAGTCCGAAGGCGCGCGCCAGACGCAAAACTTCAAGGTATGACTCACGAACCGCTCCCCGGAGGGTGCCATCCTCACAGCCGGAGCATTTGCCAAGAAAATAAACAAAATTAAGTYCTCAAACAGCGTCCGTTCGTGTAGATGTCTGAGTCAGGCGGGGCTTTGCGTCAGGATCAAGTCTCAACAGGACCCAAAAATAAACTCCACTCTCCCGAATTTTAGATAAAACATAAATATGATGACGCGGATTTAGTCCTTATCTTGTTTCTGCAAAGTCACATGTGTGACTGAGAGCGCTCCCTCTGTGGGAGTGGACTGAGTCTCAGGGAGGAGACTAGAAGCTCCTGATTTAAATGACAGGTGCGTCTCTCTGAAAACCTCCATCCTGTCCAATTTATAGACCCWAAGTGTCTCGAGACTCCCCTAAATGTGGTTTGTTTGTTTTCCACAGGTGTGTTTGTCAACTCTCTGATGTGACTTATAGAATGAAATGAAAAGAGTTGGAAACTCTCTGGAGAGGATGTACAGTTTAAAGAACACAGATGAAGACAGATGGTTGGATGTTTTGTGCTGAGGAGAGACAATAAAACAAAACAGACAACATGAGTATCAGTGGGAAATAGCTCCCCGCTGCACTACAGAGGCACACAATCAGAATGATAAACACGTGAAAGGTTAATGTGCTTATAAAGATGTTTGAATAGAAACTTACATTATCACACACATATCTATTTGTTTTCCTTTGTGATTTCAGCTGTTTTTAGACACAGATAGCCTGAGATCGAAGCCGAGGTGTCAGAGCCTCCCCTCCCACCTTGACTACAGTGAAGGTCTTYCCCCTGGCAGTGATTTAGTCTGTCTTCACCTTCAATCATTCATGGATCTCAACTCCTCAAGGAGTTTCATATCGATCTTTTTTTACAAGCTAGAAACCTTCAACAACTTCCAGTCACACTGAGTTACTTAGACAAACTGAAAGTGCTGACAGAGTGTTTTTTAGCTGATAAATATTTAGCATGAATAAACAGTTAAACATTGTGAGGTACAGGTCTCAAATTAGTTGTACAAAATGTAAAATGATAACTGACTATAATCAAATTTTTTTTCTTTTTTTCTAAAGACAGTTGTTTGTGCCTAAAGTGTCTTAAACTATTTTTCAGCTTTTGATTCATTAAGTTACAGAAACTCATGAATCTGACTGAGCTGTTTGAAATGTACAGATGCTAAATCATTTAACCTTCAGCCTCATTATATTATCTTTTAAAATGATGATTTCTGTAGGTTTCTCAGGTCTGCTCAGAGGCATCAGGATTATATCGAAAAGTTTTTTTTTTCCATTTGGAAGACATGAATGTGCTTTTTAAAAAATTAGAAAAGGATCATTATCAAGCTCGATAGCTTTTATGATTATGTGACAGCACTGATGTGATACCAAATACTAATACCAACACAAAAACTTTGCAACATTTGTTGCATTCAAGACTTTTGCGTGCAGAGACACCCATTCTCCAAATATTACACATTCTTCACATGTTTGCATGACTGCAAAAGAAAATTATTCCTCCTCCCCTGCATTCTTCATTCAACTCAAATCAAAGTATTTGCATGTAAAAAAATTTTGGAGAAGAAAAAAAGTAATGTCTGAAATAATATCTTTTGATTTAAATGAAAACAAAGTTTGTGTATCAGAATGTGTGGCATGTCAAATAGACAGAAACTTGTGCATTTCACATCATCAGCTTCACAAGATGTCATTTTTTTAAATAACTGCAAAGATTGTTTTCTTTTTATTTACATTTTCAAACTTTACCAGCAGTTCTCACTTCATGTTTGTTTGTTTGTTTGTKTGTTTGTTAGTTTTTACAAAATAAAGCATGGTTTTTGTCTTTAATCAGCCAAAAGAAACATGTTTATTGCCTGCACTTTACAAGAAACAGCATCTTTCTCTATATTTCCACTTGACACACATACTGTATATACAATAGTTACATSTCATCTAATATTTAATTGAAAACACTGTCCTCTTTTTTGAATCTAGATGAGACTTTGTGGTTTTTGGGTGGTCTCCAGTGGGGCTTTTCATTAACATCATGTAAAATATGCTTAAAACACCTCAGTGATGATGCTACAGACTCTGGATGTATTCATATTCAGGCTTTTATCTTGTCGTAAAAGCCTGAACATTGTTTGTCTGCTCACTCTGTGTGTGAATTAGCAGTCTGTGGATTTACATTCCTCTGTCAATATTTCTCCAGATTTTAAAGATTTTATCACTGCTGGTACAACTTTACATTCATGATGAATGGTGGTGGGTTTTGTGTGAWTTATGCAGTCGTGACCTTCTGCACAAACTGTGACAAATGCTGTCGTAGAGCTGGAATATCTCTACATTTATTCACACAACGACACATACAAGGTGTTTTTTTTTTTTTTGTTAGAGTATACTTATGCTGACAGCAGCAAGGGACTCGTTTATGCTGTAGTGTAGCACAAGAAAACCTGTAAAAATATGATCAGAAACATCAAACCTGTTTCTAAATACTGCAGTCTGTTGTGTTGATTTATACCTGAGAACAGTTTTACTTCAGATCAAGGACAAATCAAGTCAATGACTATATTTTTCACATTGGCTCACTTCAGCTGCAGCTCTTCAACACCAGTCTGCATTCCAAACACTGATCCAACAGGTGGAGGTGAACAACATGAGAACTAAATCTGAAATAGGCAACAGTGAATTAAATTAAACTAGAGCTGATTCTGAATGTGTTTATAACAATTTGAAGTGAGTTAGCCTCTGTGTTCAGAGTAAATTACCCCATATTTTACTTATGAGGAAGCACTCTGCTTCTGTGTCCAACTCTAATCATTAGTGGTAGTTTCACAGGTCAAAAAAATTGTCACAAAAAGCAAGTTAAACAGAAATAAATGTTAATTTTACTCTTTTTTAAAATCAAACGTAAAATGCTTCCTGTGTGTGATGTAGGATCATGCCACTACTTATTTATTATTTGCACTGCACCACCCAGAGCAGACATCACATCATGCCAGTAAAAACAAAACTCCTACACTGAGCTGCAGGCTGAAATATTCTTAAAGGGATAGTTCAGATCTTTTGCAGTGTGGTTCTGTGAACGTWATGAACAGTTAATATCTTACCTGTCGTAAATTGCGCTTCAAAGACTTCAGTTTGGAGAAGTGAAGTTTTATTCTGACCGTATTCAGAAGCTAAAGGCTTCAAGCGCCATTATCTTAAAAGGTAATCCTTCTTTTTCACATTAAAGTAGATACCATGCTTTGAAATCCTTCCTTTTCACAGTTAAATCATTCAGTTGGGGTCTTTTATAAAATGAAACTGAAATGCTTTGGTTTGAATTCCTCGTTATTTTAACTTTACCAGCCCCTCTTTCACAACTTTTCTGGTGTCTGTCTCAAATCAACTGGATTTGATGCTGTTCCTTTAAGATGCTTTAAGCACTGCCCCACTCCTGCTTCCAGACCGGTCAACTCTCGTTTGAGAGGGGGGTGGGGTTTACATTTTCTAGTGATGCARAAATGTTCTACTTACAATTAAATTGAAAGATGTCAACAACAGAAGACTTGTCCACCCAGCCTTACATGTTGGAGCCAGAGTCTGACCCAGAACCAGAGGAAGACAATGAAATTGTAGTTGGTAACTCAGACGTTATTGGTCTGCTCAGTTGCAAATAATTTGACATTATAGTTCAGACAGTGTCATAGAAAACAAAGAAAACTGAACGGGTTGAAAAATACTGTATAACTCTAACAGAATACAACGCGATATCTATGCAGCACTGGGAAAGATTTAATTAACATTTTCTACACTCCTAGACTCCAAGTGCCCAACAAAATGTTTTAACAGCTAAAAAAGTGGGTCTTGCATTTGTCCCCTTTTAATATKCTGTTTTGTATTACATGGTTATTAACACTTTAGACTGTCAGTCTCATCTGTTGCTTACAATATATAAAACATGTGATGCTAAAACTTTCTGACAGAAAACTAATGTATTCTAAACAAGCCAACAAAACTTATTGTAAGTTAAAGAAAATGTTTTTTTTTTGTTGTTATTCTTGCATTGGCAGAGTATACTTATGTTCCATTTTGCAACACTTGTTTCATTGAAACAAACCACAGACCAACTTCGTCCTCCTATAGAGGGAACAATAGACTTATACTCTAAATAACACTAGCATGCAAAGGGGGAAATGATGTAGTGGTTTACAAAATARCATTTGCACAACTTATCAAAAAAGATTATGAAACGGGAATCATTTTAAAATGACAGAAATCTACTCTGATGCTCTRACTAGCCATTAGCTCATCAGTTTAACACTTCCTTAAACAGCTGTTCAAATAGCTATCTACAATCTATAAATGAACAGTTGCTATTTAAACTTTTASAATTAATAAAAAATGTTTATAACTGTAAGGGATTTCTATGTATTATGTACTCAACAAAGATTGTTTGCACATGATGTTCTTACAAACACTATGTGAACATGTGCATTCATGTGTGTGATTTAACTGTAWGTGAAAATGCTGACTCAACACCCAGCCCTAGAACTTTTGGTTTTACTGAACAAGTCAAACAAGCAACGCTTGGTTTCTAAAAGCAATTTTATGCCATTTCTTCCCAAAAAAAAAAAAAACTGAAATGAATCCTCATGAAGTGACTGAATGTGTCCCAGCTCCCAGTGAGCCTCATTGTGTTGGATCTGTGGCGGCTGTTGAAGCATGATAATTTAGGGAGGGAGAACGTGCAGCTCCTCATCAACCCTCTACAGCTCTAAATGGGGGGAATTGTTCGCTTTACGGCCACGGTGAGCCTCATATTACTAGCAGTTCATTTGCTGAAGGTCAAGGATGAAAAACTTCATGAGCTGCAGTTGAGATTTCTGCAAACAGTGGATGATTTAAATTCATATTCCCATGGCTGCACAAATGTCAGCATAATGCAATGCTTATTTGTTACAGCAAAACATTTAAACCAACGAATAATTAAACAGATTTTTGTCACTTTGTTTAGGATCATAAGTGCATGCATACAGTGGGTAAAAAAAGTATTGAACAGTCACCATTTTTCTCAGTAAATGTATTATTAGAGGTGCTAATGACATGAAA